GAAAAAATAAGCATCTGCGTTAGACACTCCCTACACCACATCCTTCTCCAAAATGATGCCCTCTCTGCAGCCAGTCATCGAGTAGAGAAAGTACATGTCAACCGCTTCATTCGTAATGGTAAGCCGCGCCCGACGCATCACGATGGGCTAGACACTCAGCGGCAAATAATACTGAGAGGAGAAGAAAGTAAACAACATCTGTGCGACGATTACCTGTTGCCAATTGAAGTCACAAATCGCGGTGAAGCTTGATATGACAGCGCGCAATGCGCTGTACTGTCTGGGCGGCCGACCCAGGCACAAGCTTTTTAGACCATCGATAAGACAGGACAATAGACAAACGAAGGAATCTGTCGATAACTATGCAATCAATGTAACAGCGACATGGTTATGAAGCAATCACGAGATAGGACGTGCGTCATCGGGCACGCACGCCATGTACAAAGCATGATTAGGCCACCACTGCTCCGTTACCGTGGCCGTCCCGCACGGAAGGCCAACACTCGCTGCGGCTCCTCCTGCACTCCTCCCCCAGCGGCAAACCCCGTCCCGGCGAGGGAGCGCAATCGCCCAGTCCCGAAGCGCCTCCCCATATTCCCGCCGGCGGAGACATCGCTGCTTCACTGCACTCAGTCTGCGTAGCAATTATGAATTAGCCACTGGAAGATAGCGAGATAGGTTCGCAAACCGGGTCCATGAAACACAACCGTGGTGCATACGGGCGAGCCGGGCCCGGCCGGTCAGCGTACAGCAGAGCGGAGGCCGGAGGAGAACGTGGCGCTCTCGGAGAATCGGCAGGTCATTCCGAAGTTAGGATGCGACGAATCTGGGCAAATCAAGCCAGGGGCCACTGTTTGCGACTTACTGCGCCTGACTGGCCCTGAACCGCCAATGCTTCTTCACTTTGGTCGGCAATAAAAACATGACTTCATGTAAGAGTTCCTATCTTGTTTTATTCACAACGCTTCATCCAGCCTTAAAATTGCGTTATCTTGTTCTATTCATGATCTCATTGTGTCTTCAGGGTATTTTATATCAAAAGCTAAAATAATAATGGGATCCTTTGCCGCTGCCACCAAATGTAGACATCAGGGCTGGGAAAAATGCTGAATCTGCTACATACCAGATATTACGAGAAACTCTTTATTGGCTACATTGCCACAAATGTTCCTCACATCATTTCTGCTAGAGAAAATGATTTTACAAGTAATCAAAATTTTGGACAGAGCTTTTCACTTTCATTTTCTATCTATTCTCAAATTGAGCTTTGAATGTTTTTATTTAGTTGGTTGCACAAACAAAAACAGATACAGTGTCTTGCTTATGCCCCCTGTGAATGTTCTTTTTCTTATTTCTTACTCTTTGTAGGTACTCACTACTCAGGTTTAGAAAAGCATACAAATATCAAAATAAGGTGCTGTAGGGCTTTCTCAGGGCAAGTTCCAGCACCGCCTGAGAGCACCAGGAAGCTCCAGTGAGCCCTAGAATCTTCCTATCAGCATTCCAGCAACTTCAGGATTCAGATGGTATCAGCCTACTCAGGCAGAAAGTATTTGAAAGAAATCAGGTTGATTTGGCTGCTCAGTCTGGTCAACAATTTACAATCATTGTGCATGCCGAACCCGCTGTACAAAAGTTGCCAGTTGCCACCAATCAAGGATTAGAGTTAATACAATAATTGAACATGTAAAGAAGTAAATAAAAAATTCTTTTCTGGGCGTTACTTGATCAATATTTCAATCAGATCTCACCTTCTGCGCAAATTCGATCATAGGTATCTCTCTATATCTTCACACATCTTGCTTGCGTGCTGGGCGGCTACCTTGCTCTTTAACTGTGTACTGCACGCCGCTTTAGGGACAGTTGTCATTGCAACACTTGAAATTAGGCCTGGAATATCCCACTTCCCTAAAATAGAGGCAAAATATAAGCTAAAAATAGCTGAAATAATTCAAAAACACCCACAAACACTCATCAAACTCAACTGAACTAGCCACGCGAAACGACAACTAGAATTGTCTCTAATGCGCCAGAAACAATGCATCAACAAAATACACAAACAGCAATGACGTAATTTGCATATTTTTGACAAGATTTCGTAATAAAACTTACAAAAAAAATGTTTATTAGGCCTTTCAAATTCTAATTTGGTTCAAATAAGTATGATTTTAACAATAAAATACATTAAAAACTGAATAAAATTGTGTATGACGTCATCAAATAGGATTAAAAACGTTGCAGGACACTGTACCATAAAAGATGGCTTTTTAGAGCTGCCATGGGCAGAATGAGTTGATTCTTTTCGTATTTTTTATTGATCATTGAACAATACCCTTTTAAAAACAATTTGTTTTGTTTCGTAAATATGTCATTGGAATATTTCACAAATAATAAAACTCCTTTTTGCAATATTCATGAGAAAGATAGCGCATAAAAAGGCGTAGCAGATACCTTTTGCTACACGACTCAGAGTATGAAGAATTAGTGATGGCTACAATGGAAACTGCTACAAAGATCCGCCAGATTCGTCATAAAATGGAGCACAAAGCTGACGTTTTAAACTTGTGTTGGTCTTACAGATGTTTTGTTCTTTTTCGCCGACGAGATCACTGGCTGGTGGTACCTCTATTTTAATAAATGTGCGAATTTTGATGTTTTTATTGTATTTTTCTTTATGATGTACGGAATAGAAGAGAGAAATGTTGATTTTGCTACAATTGATGGAACAATAAAGTGATATCTGCTACCTACTGGGGTATGAAAGTATGAGAGATTTCCCAGCCCTGGTAGACATGGCCGAATTACCCAATCGATAAAGCAGATCTGACAAATTAAAATATATTATAAAACCGTCGAAAAAGAATTAAGACAAAACAAAATGACCTTCGCTGCGCAGCTGTTCGTTCGAGATTCCACGTCCTTTCATGACATAATTTCACTTTTTCATAATCACGTGACAGAGCATGAGCCATTATAAACATAAAGCACTTCTTTCATCCTGAAATATAAAATGAGAAACACTGCACCTCCTACACCACACCCTCTTTCAAACAATAACTCTCTCAGTAAAGAAAGCTAATGATAAGGAAAATGCTCAATGCTTCACCTCTGACATCTATAGGTATGCAAAAGGACGAGCGACAGAAGCAAGTCCAAGTAAAATTGCTGCTGTAAGCGATGTAAGACATTCACAGAGAAAACATAATATGTTGGCGATAAACACGTTTGCTGATTGCACTGGCAAGAAGTGGTTAAGCGAGTAGGAGCAGCGCGTAACGCACTGACAGTCGGGTTGGCCAACCCCGACACAAGCCTTTCAGACCGACATCGAGCCAAGGTAAACGAACAAACGAGGGAATCCGCTGACAGATATGAAATCCGTGCAATGGCAGTAGCTTCAGAGCAGGCACGAGATAACACTTACTTGTGCGACATGGGAGACACACACGCCTCACAAACCACAGTTCAGTCACCGCCACTCCGTCACTATCCCTGACCGTCCGTCACGGACCAGGTCCAACCAAACCAAACCCGCTGCTACCGCGCGGTCGACCCTGTTCCGGCGAGGGAGGCGCGAGCGATCAGTCTATTAGCGCCTCCCAACAGTCCCGCCGGGCGGACACAATCACTGAGCCACTTCACAGTGTTCGTAGCAATGAGCCGCCGAGAACTGACGAGTCCGCTGAGTCCAAGTCTGCTGAGCCAGGTCCATGGAAAGCACCCGTTATACCGAGCCGGGGCCCGGTAACAGGTCAGTTTGAGGTAGAGCGAAGTTCGAACGGAGCGGGTAGCGTTTTCGTTAAATTGTTGCACATCATTCCGAGAGTAGGCTGCAACGATTGCGGGCAAACAAAGCCAGACCAGCCACTGTTTAACCTGGCTGCACCCGAGTCCAAGGCCTCTGAGTCTGACTGGCCCTGCTCTTCCGACGCTTCTTCATTGGTCGGAAATAAATGCATGACTTCAAGTGGGACTTCCTCTCTAAACTATATTCGCATTTCTTCATCCAGTCTTCAAATTATTTTGTCTATGATCTTGATTCTTGATCTCAAATCCGCGTTTCATGGTAGGTAATTGAAATAAAAACTTTAAAAAATTAACGGGATCCTTAACCGCTGCCACCAAATGTAGACATGGCCAAGAAAAGTATGAAGAACTCAAACGTTAAAAATAAATACGATATATTAGATAAACCAAACTGCGTTGTAAATAGGCCAAATCAGAACAAAATAAAATGTTGTTCGTTGTATAAAAGTTCGTTCGAATCTGTCGTCAAACAAAAATAAACACATTTGTAAATTCTCGTGAAAAAATCATGAGCCGCAATAAACACAAAACACTTCTAATGAGATGAAAAAATAAGCATCTGCGTTAGACACTCCCTACATATGTAGCTGGTAAAGGTGAAATATCTATAACAAGCCCGCTCGTTCCTTCAGCAGCCTGGACTTATCTGCGATCCAGCTCTGTAATCAGTCCATATGCCGTCTAAAATCTGTCCCTCTGTGACCAATATATGACGCACCCATGAGCTATTTGTAGCCATTTTGGTGATCTCTCTGACCGGCACCCTTTTTAGCCCCGGATGGTGTTACGGCGGCGCTGTCGGCCGCCCCACTGACCCTACTGACCCTGTTAGTGACCTGTCTCTGCGTTTCTCTGTCTTTCTGTATCTCGGTAGCCCTGTCTCTTTGTGTCTCCGTGTTCCGGTTATCCTGTTGACCGTGCTGTGACCTGTCTGTGACCTTGCTGTGACCTGTCTCTGCGTTTTCCACCCCCGGGCAGTGCCATAACGGTGCTTTCAGCCACTCTTCTGACCATTGTGACCTGTCTCTGTGACTCTTCGTGTCTCGCTAACCCTTCTGATCCTGCTCTGACGCTGCTGTGACCTGTCTCTGTATTTTCCAGCCTCGGGCGGTGTCACGGCGGGCTCCCTCGGTCGCTCTTCTGACCCTGTTGTGACCTGCCTGTGACCTGCCTCTGTCTTCCAGCCCTCGGGCGGTGTCATGGCGGCGCCGTCGGCCGCCCTGCTGACCCTGCTCGGTCTGACCGGTCTCCTGGAGCCGGTCTGGACGCGCTGTCCCGCCCAGTGCCATTGCGAGACCTCCGGATCCGACTGCAGTCACTCCCAGCTCAGTGCCGTGCCCATCTTCCTCGACCCTCGCATCCACCGGCTGCAGCTGCAGGGTAACGACATCACCAGCATCGCCGACGCGCTCATGTTCTACCCGAGCCTGCGGTGGTTGGATCTCTCCAACAACAGCTTGACCTCGCTGCTGGAGGGACAGTTTGTCATGCAGAGGGACCTGCTCAGCCTGAGTGTGCATGATAACCGACTGGGAGCGCTCTTCAGTGAGACTTTCAGTGGACTGGGGAGATTGCAGGAGCTGCTGCTGGACAACAATCAGATCATCGCACTGGGCGATGGCGTGTTTCAGTGGATGGAGAATCTACAGAGGTTAGACCTGTCCCGGAATAGGATTAAAATAGTGACACGTGAGGCTTTCGAGGGGCTTAGTGCTCTGGAGTGGCTTGATCTAAGTGAGAACAACATTGGGCACGTGCCATCGGACGCGTTTCGTCAGCTCAGTGCTCTGAGAACACTAAAGATGAGAAACAACTGGCTTCGCGAAGTGCCTTTTCACGCGTTCTATGTTCTTTCGTCACTACAGAACCTTTCTCTCGCGGAGAACCGTCTCCATCGGCTCCATCCAGAGGCCTTCTCCGGTCTCTCAAATCTCCAGCTCCTGGACATTAGTGGCAACCTGCTGGACAAGTTCCCGGCCACGTCACTGGCCCTGCCGGAGCTGGAGGAACTGGACGCCGGTGGTAACGGCTTCCCCTCCCTCCAGGCGCGGCACATGAGCGGGATGCGCCGCCTCAGGAGGCTCCGCGTGTGCGGCAACGCAGCGCTTTCAGTGGTGTCTCCTCATGCCTTCAGTGACTCACATCTGCTGGAGGAACTTCATCTGTGCGACAATCCTCAACTAACCTGGTTCCCCAGCAGTGCAGTGGAGGGTCTGCCTCGTCTCAGAGTGTTGAACCTTAGCGGCAACAGCCTGGGCATGTTGGAGAACATGACGTCCCTTCTGCAGAGAGTGGAAACGTTCAACGTGTCCGGGAACCCTCTGGTGTGTAACTGCTCCTCCCGCTGGCTATGGGAGCTGCCCAAGAGGCTTCCGCACATGCTAACGCTGCCTCCAGTGCTGTGTGTGGACTCAGGAAGGTCGCTATTTTCCCTGAGTGAGTCTGAACTCGGCTGCAATAGCTGGCTCACGCCGCTTCTAGTCTCACTGGCGGTATTTGTGGTGGTGTTCTGCGCCATATTGGTCGCCCTACTACTCCTGCGTCGGAAGCGTCGTCACGATCGGCAGCGCGCGTGTGTTCGCGAAGCGCAGGCTTATGCGGACCAGTGGGGGGACAAGTGGCAGGTTAAGTGGGAGGACCTGGAGGCCGACGACGGTATCAGTGGCAGTCACATGTTCACCCACTCGGGGCCGGAGTACGGGTCGCTGAGGCGGCTAGAACACTTCACCTTCCGGAGTCCCGAGTACCAAAAGAAGATACCGGTTACTGTGGTCTGAATGGCTCGCGAAGAGTTCAGAGCTTTGGTGATGGACGGGGGTGACGTAAAATGTGTCTTTCACAACGATATTGCTGCAGATGTTTGTTAGCTGAGTAGCGCGAAAACCGGCAATGATATCCTAGTCCAAGATTAGGACGTCATTGGTGGCTTTGGCACGTGCTAAGCCGCCTTGTTGCATTGATATGCAGTATGTTGCGCTGTAGTGTGCGATTGCTTTTTACTGATATCGCCGGGAGAGAGCTGCTTCTGTCGCTGAAGTCTGTGCACTTTGACATAGGAACGTGAATGTCATGTCTTCGGTTTTCGCTTCTGCAATTTTGATAATCAAACGTGTGATTTATATTTAAACAGGAAAATCATTTTGAACAATTCCCTTGGAGAAAAATTGAGTCGTCATACGCGCAATATGTGTTGATTGTTGCCTAATTTAAATTGATTTCGCATGTTTTTTTCCAAGTCTCTCTTCCAGCTTATGCAGAAGTAGAACCACGAAACCAGCAACAATGAGCTGTGGTTGTGAATGAATCTGTTAGGATGTGTGATGACGTCACCGGTGACGTCATATGATGACCTATGACGTCACCGGTGCGGGACGGACGGGGATTGGTCGCCTGCGGCTGTGCGGTGACCGGCCGAGATGGTCTGGGCCAAATACACCAGTTTGGATCGAGCCAGCGTGTGTGGCGGACGTCACCTCACGTTATAACAGTGGCGACGAGGACGAGACGTGACACGGGATCGGCGGGGACCGAGGGAGCAGCAGCAAGGCGCTCCTTGTCACCGCTGTCGGAGCCGCCGACATTCGCCGAGCAGGTGCTGGGCGAGAAATCGCCGCTGCTTCCAGTGCGGCGAGATGGGACACGTTCGAGATGCATGCCGCGCAGCGGGTCGCGGCTGGGTGGATCAAGTGGAGGACGACGGGTTCGGCGCTCCGGCATCACCAGCGGAGGGAGCGGACCCCGCAGACGACGCTGCTGAAGAGGTCTACACGCTGTTCTACCAGTCACCGCAGTCAAAGAAGAGCCGCCCGCCCCTGTACGTGGATATCAAACTAAACGGCCGTGCAGTGCGGGCGGAGGTGGATACAGGCGCCGCGGTCTCTGTGTGTTCGGAGGAACAGTTTAACAGGCTGTTCCCACAGGGGAGTCCGGCGATAGCTCCTTCGCGGCGTAAATTGTGCACCTATGGTGGTCAGCGCGGTTGGCCCTACGGGGCGAGGCGATAGTGTGCGTGCAATACGGTTCTGTTTCGGTGAACCTACCGCTGATCGTGACGGAAGGCACCGGCCCGGTGCTCTTCGGACGTGACTGGTTGGCGTACTTCAGGTTGGACTGGAATGCTATCTGCCGCATGGCAGACGTGTCTCCACCCCAGTCGACGGGTAAGTCCGTGATAGCGGACCCTGCGTTAGCCCCGGTGTTGACCGAGTATGCAGAACTGTTTGATGACGAGTTGGGGTGTTTCAAGGGTGAGAAAGTGACCATCGCTGTTGACCCAGACGCGACACCTCGCTTTTGCAAAGCGCGCCCTGTTCCCCTGGCGTATCTTGCGCGAGTTGACGCTGAGCTGGATAGACAGTTAAAGCTAGGTTTGTGGGAAGAGGTCAACGACAGCAAATGGGCGGCGCCAATGGTGGTGGTGCCCAAGGGGGACGGTACGTTGCGACTCTGCGGTGACTACAGGCTAACCATAAACCAGGCTGCTAAAGTGCATCAGTATCCACTGCCGCGTGTGGAAGAACTCCTCGTAAAATTAACGGGTTGTCAGATCTTCTCGAAGGTTGACTTAAAGAGTGCCTACAACCAGCTAGTGCTGGACGATAAATCGAGAGAGTATTTAACTCTGAATACTCCTCGCGGCCTGGTCAGACCCACTCGGTTGAGTTTTGGGTACGCGAGTGCCCCGTCTCTCTTTCAACGCACGCTTGACCAGCTGCTGAGCGGCTTACCTGGGGTGGCAGCGTTTCTCGATGATGTGATCATCGCGGCGCCGTCTCGGGAGGAGCATGAGTCTCGGCTACGGGAGGTTCTCGGCCGTCTGGCCGCGGCTGGATTTCGGGTAAATAAGGCAAAGTGTAGTTTCGGGTTAAGCTCCGTTACTTACCTGGGTTACACCGTGAGTGGAGACGGTGTTCACACGACGGAGCAGAAAGTCACCGCGATACGAGCGGCGCCTGAGCCGCGAAATGTACAGGAACTGCAGGCCTGGTTAGGGCTAATAAACTATTACAGTAAATTTCTTCGAAATTTATCGACTGTTCTGGCTCCCCTTTATCGTCTTTTACGTAAGGGCGAGTCGTGGTTGTGGGGAAATGCCGAGTCCGAGGCATTTGGGAGGGCCAAAGCGCTTCTGTTGAAGTCGCCGGTCCTGGCTCACTTTGACTCGCAGTTACCCGTGATACTGGCTTGTGACGCTAGCCCGTCAGGCATAGGCAGGGGGGGTTCATCGCCATAGGGACACACGTACAAGGAAATTGCTACCAAATGCTGCCAATGTGACGTAACTGGGATGCTCGAAAGCTGATTGGTCGCTGAGATTCGAGTAATGTAGTCAATTCTGGCGCACCGGCGCAGTGTTTTCCGACCGTTGCGTGTTATTACTTTGGTTGTTACGCAAAGTTTTAATATGTTTGTTTAATAATATAAACACGTTTTCATGTGTTTGAAGGTCGCAAAAGCTAAACATAAGTGGCAACCACACTTTGTATTACGTTTCGTCTCATATATCATGAAGAACAACCAAGTATTTCAAGCTGGGATCATGCTGAGGTACCTCAACCAAGGTATTCATTTTGCAATGGATCTAAACATAATCTGGCGTTTTTTAAAGTTTTCATTTTTGCAATTAAGCTGGTAATAATTTTTCAGTGCTGTGCTCGCAGTGCGCATAAGTAGGGTAGACCGGGGCAAGTCGCCCCGCCGAGGTAAAACGCCTCACCGATGTTTCTCGGAACTGGCAGAGTTCTGGGGAAACATCATCTCTTCTATAAAACGTGCACTATATGATCATTATATGAGCAGACTGGGAAGAAATTGTGATGACTCTTTCGGGAGATATAGCCAAAAATGTGTTTCTTGAGTGATTTTTATGTTTTGTTGTCAGATTATGTATCATGGCGTTCTTTTATGGTCCACATCAGGTTAACGACTTTTATGTGTTTTGAACAACTATTGTCTAACGCTTATCATGCCGGGTTGGTTCGTGTTAAATTATGTCTTGCTGGAGTGCAAGGCGTTGTTCTCTGACCGAACTACGTGATGGGGTAACACGCCCCAGTAGGTCGCGGGGCAAAAAGCCCCTGGGGCGTTTTACCTCATGTGTTGTTGGGGCTACCCACTTTCTAATGTTCGGTAGCTGGCGAACAGTAAGTTTCTATGCCTTTATGTGTATTTTTCTCAGCAACTGGATGGCAAAGGAAGTATTTTGTTAACATTTGCATTGCAATAATTTATTATTTGGTCTTATGAGGTAGGTGAAAAACCTGCTCATACAATTGTGTCATAGCTGAACACCTGACAGGATGGAATGTGCTAACTTCAGTGCCGTGCCTCCAGAGGTCTAACGGACCTCTCACATAAGATTTAGCCAACTACCATGTTAAATCTTTAATCTAAAGTATGGGGCTACTTGCCCCAGGCCGTGGGGCGTTTTGCCCTGGGGTTGGGGCAAAATGCCCCATTTGCAGTGGCTTCACAAATCACTTCCTAGCTTGGAGTCCGATCATAAGTGAATGAATTTGAGGGGTGCAATTTAAAGTAAAATGTCCAAAGAACGCATTGAGCACAAATTTGGCCTTCCAGGTGATATGGGACAAAATTTATGTAGCAAAATAAATTATCTGGGGCGTCTTGCCCCAGGCTACCCTACCTTGACCTAACATGATACACTCAACAAATAAAATGGTTAGAGCTAACACGCAATGTAAACAAACTAGTGCTACAGTGGCAAATTGAAATATAAATGAGCTCTTTACTTTTTTGCATTAAAATTTAAATTGTATATAGTATGGTCACATACTGCGGGCTGGGTTCATCTCAATCTCGTTGCAATGTTATCAGAGCTGTAAAATTGAAAACAAATCAAAATGTTTTTGCATGGCATTATTGTTTATTTTCAAATTGGTCACTGAAGTTATTTCATGGGTAGGTGCTTAATCTTATTCAACATTTATTTATTAGTTGCTTGTACTGTCAGCATGATGTTAGCCAAATTTGTTTGTGCTGAGAGTTTTCTGTTTACAGGAAAGCTGAGGCGAGGGCGAGTAGGTCCCTGAGGAGGACCACTGCAAAGAAAGGAGGTCAAGGAGATTCAGCAACCTGCGAGCAACCTCTAGATCAGCCAGCAGGCACCTCTGACAAGTAAGTCTAATGGTTTATGTTTTCACTCACATTAAAAGTGTTCACTAATATCCATCAGTGTTTAAAGTTCTGGCCCGTCTTGAGCGACAACATCATTTTTATTCCCATTGTTAAAATGCATCAAAGCATTCTTTTTGCCATGAGTAATGGTAACTTTTTTGTCGGGATAAGGCCACTCAATCCAATAAGGTGATGTCTCAAGTCACATCCACTAAATGTTCTGATAATGACCTATGCTGGTCCTAACTAGTGCTTAGAAAAAAGCTGAGTTGTGTTTCAGTCTTGGTTTGTGTTTGAACATTTTTATACGCAGTGTTTTTTCTTCTGAAAAAGTGGCATGCTAATCACGAGCGAATTTGAGGGGCAGTCGCCAAACGAGACTTCAATAATCAACAGTAACAGGAAAATGGATTAATGTAAAGTCAAAGGGCATGAATTTTTCGTTGTCCGCGAAATCTGTCACTTTCAATGCGTAGACTAGGCTCATTTAAGTGTTATCGTTTTTTTTTTTTTGTTGTTGTTGCACAATATTAAATTGCCAATGTCTTTCAAGTGATGTAGCGTAATGCTGCTTTCACAGTGCCGCTGCCGGTGTCGACGCTGGCAGCCATGGCCGGCGCCGAGCTGACGAGTTCCAACCTGGAAGCTCAGCGCGAGGGGCTGGCATTTGTTGCCGGCTTCGTGGCATACAAGTGTCACCACATCGACGCCACCCTCGGTAGTCGGTCTCCTGACTTCTCGGGCGCCGCCGGAGACACTGAACACCGGACATGTGCATGGATCCGGGAAAATGGATCTGGGATCTGATCCCACGGATCCTGATCTCGGATCAGACGGGATCATAGATCCAGCTCTGTAATTTATCGAGAGATCCGTAGGGATCACAGATCCGATTCTCATTTTTGCCTGAGATCCAGTGAGATCGTAGATCCTCACTTATTTTTTGTCAACACATATCCCAAAAAAGCACTTGTTTCAACTCACTAACGTTCTGTTTGAGTGATTTTATGTGATCGCACGTCATAATCCATAGTTTGTGTCACTTATTGGCATAGAAACCCTTTAAAACATGGTATCAAATGTGGTGCATGGTGGGATCCACTCAGAACATAGATCCATGTTCTTAATTTATCGTCAGATCATATGAGATCATAGATCCAAGATGTATTTTTCACGCCGGATCCGGTGGGATCAAGATCCCAATCTTTACTTTGCTTCGAGATTCACTGAGATCATAGATCCATCACTCGGATCCATGCACATGTCTGCTGAACACCCTGCCGAACAGCTGAATTGTGACGATCAGCCGAGGCCAGCTGTTTGTTCTGTCACAAGCCTGGATG